GATGATGGGGAGAACTGAAGCAGCGGCAGCATAAAGACGAGCACAATCCCGGCTACCAGGCTGTGATATTTGATCCGAGTGGTTGTAGGCGGGTACTTGAGGTGGAAGAGGTGGGCGAGTGCAATGATAAATGGCAGGAGCGACCGACGGCTGCCTGCGTGGCAAACAGCGATGTGTCCGTGGCCAGTACGTGGCGATCCCATGTTGAGACTGCGGGGCAAGGAAGGGAGGGGGAGGGGCAAGGGGGCAAGGGAGCAAGGTGAGGAGGCACCACACCAACACACAACTCTGAGCTACAAGCAACGAGTATGCACACGTCCCAGGTGCGTGAACGCAACCAAATGTCTGGGCCTGGTGGTGGTTGCGAGGCTGCCAATGGTCGTGGCGGCGGTGGCGGTGGCGGTGGCGGTGGCGGTGGCGGTGGGGCAGGGCCGCCGAGAAGCGGTGCTGGACCGGTGGGGGCTGCGACTGGCAGCGGCTGGTCGGCTGGGGCAAAGTACAATCTGGCTGGAGTGCTGCTGGTCCTTCTAGGCTTTGTATTCTTCCTCGCCTCGCCGGTCGACGAGAGGCCCTCGGTCCTCGGCTCGCAGCCAGAGGTTGCTGGTGGGCTGGGCGAGATCGTGGCCGGCGTGCTGGGAGCAACAGGCGCACACTCGGCGAGGATTGCGGCAGGTATGGACTCGATTGTTCTTGATCTGCGTGGAGATGTGAAGCCGGTGGTGGAGCTGGTCGCCAGCGGCGTCGGCGTCGGCACAGCCAGGCACTCTGCTCTCGATCTCTCGCATCTCCGGCTGGTGGCGGTGGCGGGCGCAGACGCTGGTGCTGCGGTTGCGAGTAGCGTTGATGTCGCCATCCACGAGTGTGAGGGCGACGAGTGCATGGTGGTGGCCAAGACTCGGTCCGGCCTCGGCCTGGTGGTGGCCGATGTGCCGCCAAGGACGCTCTCGCACTGGACGCGCGGAATGTGCGAGGCTGCCGACGTCGCGCTGGCGCTCATTGTCGTTCGGCCGGACCAACTGCCGCTGCTGACCAACATACTCTCGCACGACTCCAAGTGCTGGAATGCAAAGGTGGCGGTGGCCGGCAAGCTCTCGGCGTCTGCGCTCGGTCCGCAGTGGCGGCAGACCGAGCTCACGCCGCAGACCCATGGTAGGAGCCCGTGGACGATCTTCCGCGCCCATGGCATGCAGAGCGGGACCCACTCAAGCACGGGCAGTGGACCAGCGTCCAGCTCGGCCAGCATGGGCGGCAGCCGCTACGGATCAAGCTCGGAAGGGTGGACGAGCAAGGGTAGTGGGAAGACGACCGGAGGCGGAAAGGGTAAGCCCGGCAAGACGAGTTCCGGCGGAAACGCTGGCAGGCTCAAGCCCAAACCGCGCCCTTACAAGCACATGTACAAGGATCTTGTGTTCTGGTCCAACGACTTTCACATCTCGCCGACGAAGGATGTCAAGCACCTGTTTGCCGAGTGGGGCATCAAGGTGATCGAAAAGTCACTCTCGGGCCACTGCCACATGACCGGCTCATGCGCGAGCGACCTCAAGGTGCTGAGCAAGCACAACGGGATGAACCTCAACGGCGGCGACGGGCTCAAGGCCAAGTTCTTCGACGCGTACAAGGCCGATCCGATCATGGCCTCGGTCGACGCCTTCCTCTGCTTCCACCCGTCGTCAATGTGCGAGCTTTTCATGCCGTTCAACAAGTCGCTCATTGTGGCGCCGTCGACCCGGTTTGAGCTCGGGCGTGAAGAGCCTGGGGCGTGGACAGCGTGGATCAAGAACGTGCGCCGGATCGCGAGCAAGAAGCAGCACCGGATCATCTCGAACAACGCGTACGATGCCGAGTATGTCAAGTACTTTACCGGGCTCGACGAGGTCAAGATCCTCCCGTCGTTCTGCAACTACACCGGCGTCATGTATGCGCCCGAGCCCACCACCCATCCGGAGCTGCTGTCCGGCAAAATCCTGCAGGGCGCCGAGATGGTGCGGGCGGAGATTGCGGCTGCCAACAAGCGGGCCGGGACCTCGGTGGTGATCAAGGACGTGCGCGAGGTGTACCCTGGCCACTACGAGTACGCAGACCTGGTCAAGCATCCAGCGCTGGTGTATCCGGCACCGTACCAGCTGTCGACCATGTCAATCTTCGAGGCGGCGCGGATGGCCATGCCCATGTTCTTCCCGTCAGTCAAGTTCCTCGTCGATCTCGACCTCCAGCACGGCGTGGTCAACCAGCGGACGTTCAAGCGGGTGTACACCGGGCAGCGCGAGGCCAAGTCAGACGTCGCGCGGCATCCGCAGTACACTGGGACTCACTACGACCCCAACGACGAGGTGACGCGCGAAGCCATGGAGTACTGGTTCCAGTATGGCGACTTTTACCAGTGGCCCAACATTGTGCACTACGACTCGTGGGACGACCTCATTGCCAAGATCGAGTCGACCGATCTCGACGCCGTCTCCGCAGCCATGCGCAAGGACAACGAGCGCGTCCTTTTCCAGCTCAAGGAGGACTGGATGGATATCTTTGACGCCATCATCGAGGCCCGCGGCGGCGACGCCAAGGCCGCCATTCCGCAGGGCTCTTGGAGCGAGGCCATGAATGCGCTTTGGGGTTAGCCTCTCGAACCGATCCTCAATGTGAACAGTGCAAAACGTAACTAAGCCCTCTCCCCTGTCATAGCCACCACAAGCCGGCCAATCGGTGTCGAAAGCGCACCTCTGCAGTAAGCATCGAGCTGTCCTCGCGGGTGTCGCGAGCTGTGTAGGGAGCGATCGCAGGCAAAGGCCCGCTCCACGTCCGTGCACCCGTGCATCAGTCATTGGTAACCGCAGGCAACACTTGGACAGACATGTCATCAATCAAACTCGGAGCCGATGTCGTGTGAACGAGGGCATAGGCACACTTCTGGCCACTCGGTATCGCCAAGCGAGAGTGTGCGGTCCGAGGCGGAGGTCCGAGGCGGAGTCGGAGACAGAGACGGAGACGGACGCGACGGCGCGACGGCACACAGCACTCACCAACACTATGGTCAACTTCTTCAACTGGGTCTCACGGGTGGTTCACCTCAGGTATGTGCACACAGACAGGAAGGGGGGGAGGGGGGGAGGGGGGAGGGGGAGGGGGCTGGGTGGACTCACTGGGGTTGGGGGTGTGGCTGTGGCGGGCCTGGCTGGCATGGCGGGGTGGTGCGTGGCTGGGTGATCCGGCGTGGCGTGGGGTTGGGCTGGGTTGATCGCGGTTGATACTGATTCTGGCTGTCTGGTGTTCGATGTGTACTGTCTGGTGCGCTGCCCTCTGGTGTGCTTTGTGGTGTCCACTCTGGTCTGCTACTATCTGGTGCGCTACGCTGCTCTCTGGTGTGCTATGTGGTGTACACTCTGGTGCGCTGCCCTCTGGTCTGCTGGTTGGTGACCGGTGCGTTGATCGACCATGGTGCACAACATGGTGAACATGTCTTGGGCGGTGAGGCAACTGCAGCTCGGGCTCGTTCCTCATCGGGGCGACGGCGTACCCGTTCTTTGTGCCTGCGGCATACGATTCTGTGGCGCAGCCGTCTTCGGCGTCGATGATGTACGCAGTGGTGGCACTGCTTGTCTCGGGCCTGTACAACGCAGGCGCGGCCAAGCCGTCGAACATGGCCTCGGGCGCCGGCTTCTGGCGCATGCTTATCTACGGTATCAAGGGCTCCATGCTTCTGGCCTGCTCGCCCGTCCTCGACAAGTTTGTCGCTGTTCCCGAGCAAAAGGCCCAGATCCGGCTTGCCGCCCTCATGGCGGCGCTCGGCGCCGGCGCCTTTGCCCGCTTCTTCCGCGAGGAGAACACCCTGGCCATCAAGGCCGAGTAAGGCCAAGCATGCCCACCCATAAACCCCGGCCTCTTTTCGTCCGGCCAAAGACAGCGTAGCGTGCGCAAGCAGGCGCGATTGTCGGTCCCTGTTCCACTGTGATGGCCTGCCCCAGGGCGATGGATGGCGATGGCCTGTCCCAGCCCATGACCTTCCGATTTCCATGCGGCACCCGACCCCCCGACACCCTTTGGCGACCTGCCGCATTGCCTCCAGACGGGCGGGCGGGGAGAAGGGGGGTGGGGGGGGGGGCGGGGGGGGGGGGGGGACAGGGAGAACACCGCACTGCGACCGCGCACCATGGTAGCAGGGAGAGGGGAGTGGTGGGGGGCGGGGGGGGAGGGGGGAGGGGCAGTGTGTGGTTGTG